GGCAGGGGAGAGCCCAGGGCTGGGGGGGTGGGGGGCAGTAAAAAACCTAGAGCTGGCTCTGTCCCTACCATTCACAGCAAGCTGCAGCATGAGGTTTCAGTTCCACACACCTTCCCCCTCCCTTTCCTGTTAATTGCCGCCAAGGGAATGCTGGGAAATGTAGTTCTTTCCCTGCTCCAGGGCTGGCTCTATAGGCAGGGAGCTAACCAACGAACTACAGCTCCCAGGGCCCCCTGTTGGCTCTCACTCCCATGCTGGATTCTTGCGCCCCTGCAAATTTGCCGCCCCAAGCAACTGCTTGCTTTGCTGGTGCCTAGAGCCAGCCCTGAGCTTGGTTCAAATTTAAACCTGGATTCATTTATTTAAAAAAAACAAAACACCCCAATATCAGCATATTCCTGGCAGTTGGTCCTCTTAAATGCGATGCTGAAAGTGGTCTGAAAGAAGTGTGTGTAGGTCTATCATTTTCAACAGCAGCGGTTCGAAGCCTCAGCCATATCAAGACCCCATTGTAGTAAGGTCTCACAGTAACTTCTGCCAAGGGGGCTGTGAGACAAAGTGCAGGAGACGGTGTTGACAGATTAAAATAAATAAAAAGTGGTCTCCAGCCTTTTTACGCCCAAGATCACTTTTCTAAGGGCAACCCGGGATCTACCCCGCTCCTTCCCCAAGGCCCTGCCCCTTCCCCAAAGCCCTGCCCCACTCACTCCATTCCCCCCCCCCGTCGCTCGCTCTCCCCCACTTTCACCGGGCTGGGGCAGGGGGTTGGAGTTTGAGAGGGGGTGCAGGCTCTGGGCTGGGGCCGAGGGGTTTGCAGTTTTGGAGGGGGCTCTGGGCTGAGCCTGGGACAGGGGGTTGGGGTGCAGGAGGGGGTGAGGGGTGCAAGCTCTGGGAAGGAGTTTGGGTGCAGGAGGGTGCTCCAGGCTGGAGCAGAGTGTGGGGGTGCAGGAGGAGGTACAGGATGCTGGCTCTGGGAGGGTGGTCAGGGTGGGGCTTGGGTTGCAGGAGGGGGTTCAGGGTGCAGGAGGGGGTTGGGGTGCTGGCTCCAGGAGAGGGCTCAGGGATGGGGTTTGGGGTGCGGCCTCCCTCTGGGCAGCACTTACCTCCAGCGGCTCCGAGTCAACAGCGGGTGCAGTGAGGTTAAGGCAGGCTCCCTGCCTACCCCAGCCCCACGCCGCTCCTTGAAGGGGCCAACGCACCCCTGCAGCCCTTGGGGGCGATGAGGGGGCACATGGCTCCGCGCGCTGCCCCTCTCTGCAAGCACCACCCCCGCCGCTCTCCCAGCCAATGGGAGCTACGGGAACGGTGCTTGCAGGCAGGAGCAGCGTGCGGAGGGAGACCCTGCACCCCCGCCCCCAGCACTGCGGGGCTACGCTGGCCGCTTTTGGGAGTGGAGTAGGGCTGGAGTAGGCAGGGAGTCTGCCTTAGCAGCAGCCACACTGCACCACCGGAGATCGCAATCAACTGGGAGATCCTCTAGGATCAACCAGTCAATCACGATCAACCGGTTGGTGACCACTGCCTTAGACCCTTAGTTGATGATGTTTAGTTTCTGGGTTCCTAGGGTAGGCTCAACAGAAGCCACAGCTGGGGGCTCTCCCTTAGTAAGCTACCAACCTAGCTGAGAATGAAGTGCTTCCCCTCCAGGCTACAAAGCCAATCCAAAACGGAGTCCTAAAACCTCATACTTGTGCATCTGATCCACAGGGTCAGCTTGACTGCCTCTGCAACCCACTCTGCCTCTATGGCTCGTAAATCATCAGGCCTTGACTAGTGCCCACTACCTTTGCCTTGCAGCCTCTTATCTCCTTCCTGCATTAAGAGAACTGTGTTTTTTGGTTAGTTTTATGGTTCTCTCTATAGCTAGTTTTCAGATACTGCATTGCTTAGCTTCACAGGTTATTAAATATATATATTTATTAAATAGGAAACTCACTTCTAAAGTTAAAAAAAATAATCTTCCGCTTCTCGCTAAGGCTGATGTTAACATTTTATCTTCCTGGAACAGATAACATGCAAGTTTCATCCACCGATAAAGCAAACGGGGCGGATATATGACCCAGATAAGAAGAATATGCTTATTTCACATCTTATGTGAGAGCATTAGGACTGTCTGAAAAATTTCCATCAGAGTCATTCTTTGAACAAAAATTGTTTTTTTGACTAGGTAATTTTTTTTTATGGAATGCATCTGCTTTCCACAGAAAAAGTGGAATTTGTTTTTATAAAAAAAAAAAACGTCAAAATTTTGGGTTTTCAGTCTTTCAGCGAATACTCAAAATTTTCTGCAGAGAAAAAAAAAATCCTTTTTTTTTCCAACTGTTAACCCAAAATGAGATTTTTAAGATGGGTTAACTAAGAAGATGCAAGTTACACCCCCCTTGTCCCGCATCTATCATCAGGTGTTGAGTTAATGACAGAAAACTTAGCAATAGGGTAAGGTGCAAACAATTTAGTTTATTTAAACCAGGATCCCCAACATAAGGGTAACACTGTATAAAACAAAACTACTCGGTTGTCAACATGAAACAAGGGCTTAAAGCCCAGAACCCCAGAACTATAATACACAGTGGTGGGCAGACAAGGGGTAAATGAGGATTAACACAGTCCCATATCTCATAGGGAAGATGCACGGACACCAGCGAAGACGAGGGCCAGGAACACTGGACACCATGGATCAGGATTCGGGAACACAGGAACGCGATGGGATCTCCACACGGGTGAGTTGATCTTTGGTCTTCTTTTCTTCAGGCCTTCTCAGCTTGCCACATTGTCCTGGGTGCAAGTATGCAGACACTAACTGAAGGGACAGCAGATGACAACTGCCCTGTGTGCAAGCAATGTGGGATAGCTGAGAAACAAACCACACGTGCGTCTCATATATTGAATGGCCATATTGCGGGAGAAGGGGGCTGCTCAGTGGACATGCATATTTATGAGGTAAGGGAAAATTCATGGTAAGTTATGTTTGTATCGGGCAGCTGCCTACATGGTATTTTTCCACCCCAGTTGCTTTTGTTTTCTCTCTTTTCAATTAAAGACCTTTCAATAGAGACTTTATTTGCTCTGGGAAATATATCCATTGCTGGGAATGGATGCAGCTACCTGTGTTGTTAAAACCTGTTTCCTAGAACATGACCTAGGCCAAGGGCTCAGCAAACGCTCTTACCATCATACTGAAAGGGACTTTTCATAGTCCCCCAGATATGCTCTCAGACCTTCCCAGCGTGAGGCAGATCCCCTGCTGCTGAGAATCGGCTGTAGCTTAATGGACTATGTGACGGACTGCACCCCTGTATTCACACCCTACACCAGTGATCCCTAAACTTGTTACCTTGTGCCCCCCAATACCCTGTCCATCCCCCCTCCATGGGGCGGGGAGCAGAGCTGCGGATCTGGGAGGGGGGACGTGGACAGGAGTAAGGGGGCCGAGGCTGGGGCCACAGCTGGGGGCGGCGATGGGAGTGGACCCAGGGCCGGCAGCTGGGACCCCGGGCAAGCAACTGCAGCCTGGAGTGGATCCCCGGGCACAGGGCCGGCAGCTGGGGCCAGGAGCGGAGCTGGGTGATGCTCCCTCCCCGCCCCCTGTGGGGGCTGGTCAGAGCCCCAGCCGTGCCCCTCCTGAACATTATTCTGCACCTCCCCAGGGGGGCATGCCCCACAGACTGAAGACCTCTGTTGTACATTACACACTATTGTAGTGAGCTTTGAACAAAGTATGCCTTATGAAGTATTATTTGAAAACTCAGAATTTGCCGGTCAATATAATCATGGTGAGCGGTGTGCAGCAGCGTTATGTGTAAAGTTGTGAATTTCCCCCTACTGGATCTTAAAGGTGCATGTTCAAACTCACGTAGCACTGATTAGCTGAGCCTGGTCAAACAGGCCTGTTTAAACAAAGGGATGCACGCTTGCCCCTGTTTGCATACAAGCTGAAAACAAAGTCTTCAGACAACAAAAGGAAGCCTGCGTGTAAGCTTCCATAGGTGAAAGAACCCAGCAGGAAACATCCTTACACCACAGGCTTTCTGTCTCTCTGTTCCCATCTGGAAATGCTTCTCGGAGGGAAACTGACCTATGAAAGGGAGGGGAAAACACCCCAAAGGACTGCCCTGCTCATCGCACCTAAGAAGACAAAGGAAAGCAGCCACTGGATTTAAGGGAGGGTCCTGACCTAAAGTTTGGTCGGTTATCCTGTTGGGAGCATGGGGTAAGAACTTTGTCTTAAATCAGTGTAGTTTGTTGAGTTAGGCACTAGCAAGAATTTTATGTTTATTTTTCTTGTCACTATTTCTGACTTTTATGCCCCATGACATGTCCCCACTTAAAACCTCTCTCTTTGTAGTTACATAAATTTATTTCATTCTTTAATTAAAATTAATCCAGTGTTGTAGACAGTGTGGTAACTCCATGTAAGGTAACAAGCTATTGTGTATTGTTCCCTTAGAGGAATGATGGGCTTAATATATCTGGACTGTGCAGGAGAAGACTGGACAGTGCATGACATACATTTCTGGGGGGAAATCTGGGACTGGGAGTGTGTTTGGGTCACCCTGCAGTAATAACCCAGGCTAGTGAGAGACAGAATTGAGAGCTGGCAGGCTGCAGTTCCACAGACACATCTGAATGACCTGAATGAGGGATTTATTTAGCAGCTATTTGTCGGGGGGAAAGGGAAACTGTAGGAGAATGGAAGTTTTGTGATAAGTTAACGTTCATTTTGAGGAATTGGCTGTCTCCTTGCACCAGCTGCAATGGTTTGCTGACTTTTCAGTTAAGAACCTCCTAGAAGAGGCCTTTTCTGCCCAGAGACTGTACCCAGAACTGGCATATATAGCGGCTTCCTGCATTGCTCAAGTTTCAAAGAAGCACATTATCCAGTGTGGGCCAAGCCACAGAGGCTGCAAATGCCTTTAACCCCCCACACAAAGGGACTTTTTCTCCCTCCCTCTGACCTTCCCAGCATAAAGCTAGATCCCCAGCTGATGCAAATCACCCAACTGAAGTCAGTGGCGATTAAACCTCCTGAGGAACGAGCCCAGGATTTGATTGTTTTCAAATGCACCATTGTAAACTCGACTCACGTAAAAAAATGAAATTAACCAAGACCAAGAAGAAACCCCACAAGTGTCCCTGCCGACTTCTCCACTGCAGGTAGGCTGGTCTCCAGAGTCACCAGGGAAAGACATCTGCAGGATTATTGCAACGATGGCCTTCTCTGTGAGTGAGAGGAAGCGACCGCCAGATCTTCTCCTCTGTGCAAACTTCCCTGCTGCTGTTGATATCCCAACAAAGCCAGCATGCCCAGAGCAAGCCCTTCCATGGAGCAAGAGTGCTGATGGGATGTGTTTACGGTGACCCAGATAGCAAGTGTGAAAAATTGGGACAGGTGGTGGGGGGTAATAGGTGCTTATATTAGACAAAACCCAAATATAGGGACTGACCCTATACAATTGGGACACCTGGTCACCCTAGATGTGTTCTGGCACACAGCCAGCAGCAGAGGGACAGTGGCTAAGGCTGGCTTGTGTACGTCACATTCCGACACCTCACTACAAGGACCTCCCACCCCAGGTGAGGGCGGAGCTACAGGCCCATCCAGTGGTGCTGAAGAGAATCAAGGCTAGACATGCAAATGATCCATGAATAGGGGCCACCATGTTGCTGAGCTGAACTAGCCCCCATTGCCGCAGGCTGAGGAGAGCGGAAGCATGGACTTTGCTTCAGACCCTGCTCATAAACTAAGAGGTGACTTGCTAGAGAGGCCCATGGAAGGCAGTTTGCAGAAATAGGTTGTTAACTGGAGCCTGACTTAAAGGTGTCCCAAAAATAAATAAATAACGGTCATCCCACAACTGGTGGTGACAAATGTCTGCAAAATGGCCTGGCCTAATATGCCTTGTGCTTTATTTATTATTATTATAATTATTTATTAGGTGCCCCAGTCACGGACCAGACCCCATTATGCTATGCGCTGTATCCTAACCCTAATCCAAAAGAGAAAGATTCAGAATTTTCAAATCGAGTGCATTTAGAATGGAAACACGTAGGCAGCTTTAATTATTGCTGTGGCGAGCATTCCAGCTGTAACCCATCGTTAAGGTGACTGCATTTTCAAAATTATAGACTGGAGCACTCCCACGGTAGTGCCTGTGAGGAAATGGAACACACCCCCAGAGACAAAAATAACCGCTTTAAAAATAGGTATTGTGGTTGCCAGATTGACTCAGTAGTGACTGAGCAGAGGTGTATTTTCCAGTCTCCATGTCTAAAGGAATTTATTCTACGCGTTGAACAAGTGGCACTAACATTCACTGTGAACAAAAGAGAATAGCTCTGAGTGTGTCGACACTTACTTGACATTTTCCTTCACACCAAACATTGTTCATTGCACTGAATGCTCATTCCACGGGGCTGTTAGGCCCAGCTCCTCAAATGATCCCAACTTAGGATCCTAAATATCTTTGGGGCTGTGGGCCTTAGTTCCTGCTGAATGCAGAGCACATTTTAGACATGCAGTGATATGTTCTGAATAAGCATTTATAGTCAGGGGTTTTCAAAGGTGTTTGTGGGAGTTAAATGCCCAATTCCCACTGAAAATCAATGGAAACTGGGCTCCTAATCCCATAGATACTTTTGATGATCCCAGCTGTAGTTATTAACAGAATGTTTTGATAGCTGGGATGAAAAACCAGGATATGTCAGGTCACCTGCATGAAGCTCCCAGGAAACCAGGATGTCATGTCAGAAACCAGGGCTTAGTAACACTGGGACATGTGGTCTCTTTAGTTATCAGCAACTGAAAAGAGGGGGGATTAGAATGTCTCAGGGAACCTTTACTCCCGCTGTTGCTAGTGTTACAATCATAAACCAGGGCTGAGATTTCAAAGCCAACTAAGGGAACTGGACACCCAATTTCCATTGATTTTAATAGGACCTGGGTGTCCACATCTCCTGGGCAGCTTTGAGATCTCAGCCCATGTGTATAAACTGTTCCAGGTTACCGTATGGAATGGCCCCAGGTTGGTCTTTATGCTGCTGGAGAAATTGGCTCCTAGCAGCACAGTGTAAATACTTGGCTGCGAGACGGAGCCCTTGTCTTCACATGCTAAACAGTGAAACTGGTGCTGCTCGCAACATGCTTCACAGATGACAAGGGATTAGGCAGATTCTCAGCAATGTACATATACTGACTCCCATGGAGCTACAGAGCTTCACACCAGCTGGGGATCCGGCCCATTAACCTGGTCCTGATCCTTGGCTCCAATTCCTGACTTCTGACTCCAGCTCTAACCAGTTCATCCAGAACTTGGGCAATGCGCTTGCGCAGGTTTATCGGGAGAGCCACCATGATCCTTGTCCCAGTCAGGATAACATGTCCGCACCACTGTGCCGTGAGGGGCGGGGGGACCATTGCTGCACACAGGCAAGCTGCATATGGGCCAGGGTGGAAGCCGCATTGCCGTAGAAGACCCTCCCTTGCTTCCCAGGTCACCCTCAGCAGCTAGATATCTTCCAGGACGAACTCCTGTGGAAATTGTGGGGACAGTATTCAGTATAGGGGGCCCCCTGCTGCTGTTGGCTCTCCCCAAAGCACAGAAACCCAGAGGACAGTACAGCCCTGAAACAATCAGTCATGCTTGACCCTGTGCTTACTCACCATTTTGGGGCTCCCATGGGTTATGTGCACTCGCTTTGGGACGGGCAAATTATGCTATTATGTAGACTGTGCTTGCCCTTAAGTACGGGGGAATCATTGCTCTGTCTGGTGTGAACAATGCTGCCTCTGTTAAGTGTTGCATTTTGCCTTTACAGATGCAACCTTGAGATCTCAGCCGTCCGTGTTCTCACTGGCTGAAAGACTCCAAAGAATCAGGAAGAGGCCATGGAGAAGCAAGGAAGACATGTTGCACGAAGTAATGCAGCATTCAAGTAATGAAAATCAAAAAGTGCAGGAGTGGCGGGAGAGTGAAAGGAGGATCTGCCAGCAGAATGAGGCGCGCCGGCACAAAAGCGCGGAGCTCCGACAGAAAAGCACAGATCGTCTGATAAGCATCATGGAGCGCCAAGCGGACTCTATCCAGGCGCTCGTAGCCATGCAGGCAGAGTACTACCATGCCCACCCCACCCTCCCACAGCCCTTGTCCCAAAACTCTTTCCCTCCAACCCACTTTCCCCAACATCCGGGTTCTTACTGCCCCCATCTGCCTCCTACACCTGTAGCTTTACCACCCAGCCCTGAAAACTACGACCCTTACCCTCTGCACTCATCCCCCATCACCATGCAGTATAGCTATCCTGAAGTGCAGCCCTCATTGCACAGCACTCCAGACAGGAAGGCTGAGTATGATAATAGGACATATGCAAATCTGTGATTGAACCGTTCCCTACCCTACCCTACCCCCTTGCCCTTTCTGTTTCCCAAGCAGTTGTGTTTCTTTTCAATAAATGGATTTTTTTGGCTTTGAAAACATTCTTTATTATTGCATAAAGTAAAAGATACCTTAGCCCAGGAAAGCAACAGGCACTGCAAGTCAGCGTAGCAAACACAGATTCCTACTAACATTGGAACCACTGCACTTCACTCCCGTGCAGGGCACCAGACATTACTGCTGGTTTTCAGCCTCAAATTGGTCCCTCAAGGCACCCCTAATCCTTGCAGTCCCATGCTGGGACCCTCTAATAGCCTTGCTCTCTGGCTGTTCAAATTCAGCCTCCAGGTGTTGAACCTCCGAGTTCCATGCCTGAGTGAATTGTTCACCCTTCCCTTCACAAATGTTATGGAGAGTACAGCACGCGGATATAACCGTGGGGATACTGTCATCGGCCAAGTCCAGATTCCCATACAGAGAGTGTCAGCGGCCCTTTAAACAGCCAAAAGCACACTCCACAGTCATTCTGCACCGGCTCAGCCTGTTGTTGAACCATTCCTTGCTGCTGTCAAGGCTTCCTGTGTAGGGTTTCATGAGCCACGGCGTTAAAGGGTAAGCGGGGTCTCCAAGGATCACAATGGACATTTCGACTTCCCCTACGGTGATCTTCTGGTCTGGGAAAAAAGTCCCGGCCTGCAGCTTCCTGAACAGGCCAGTGTTTCGAAATATGCGGATGTCATGCACCTTTCCGGGCCAGGCTGCGTTAATGTCAATGAAACGCCCACGGTGATCCACAAGCGCCTGGAGAACCGTAGAGAAATACCCCTTCTGATTAACGTACTCGGAGGCTACGTGGGCTGGTGCCAGAATTGGAATATGCCTCCCATCTATCGCCCCTCTGCAGTTAGGGAACCCCATTTGTGCAAAGCCATCCACAATGTCATGCACGTTACCCAGAGTCACGGTTCTGAGCAGGATGCGATTAATGGCCCTGCAAACTTGCATCAACACGATTCCAACGGTCGACTTTCCCACTCCAAACTGGTTAGTGACCGATCAGTAGCTGTCTGGAGTTGCCAGCTTCCAGATTGCAATAGCCACCCGCTTCTCCACCGTCAGGGCAGCTCTCAATCTCGTGTCCTTGCGCCGCAGGGTGGGGGCGAGCTCCTCACACAGTCCCATGAAAGTGGCTTTTCTCATCCGAAAGTTCTGCAGCCATTGCTCATCGTCCCAGACTTGCATGACGATGTTATCCCACCACTCGGTGCTTGTTTCCCGAGCCCAAAAGTGGCATTCCACAGTGGTGAGCATGTCCGTGAATGCCACAAGCAAACTCGTGTCATATGTGTTACTCGAGTCGATATCATCATCGGAGCCCTCACTGCCACTTTGGATCCTAAGGAATAACTCGACTACCAAACGTGATGTGCTGGTGAGACATGTCACCATATTCCTCAGCAGTTCGGGCTCCATTCCCGCAGCCCGAAAGGGAAGACAGAGTGTGCAGTACGAAAAATGTTGAAAGATGGCGCCAAATGTGGACGGAAGCACAGGGATTGCTGGGATGCGAACCGATGCATCACAGGGCGTTTGGGACAGGACCAGAATGCCCCGCACCCCCCGTCCCCTTCCCACAAGCCACAGCGCCAGAATGGGCAGAGGTGCTCTGTGGGATCGCTGCTCATAATGGACCGCTCCCAATGCTGCTGCAAGTGCCACAAATGTGGCCACGCCAGTGCGCTTGCAGCTGTCAGTGTGAACACATTGCAGCGCTTTCCTTACTGTGCTCACCGAAGGCTGGTTTAACTCACGGCGCTCTACGTCTGCAAGTGTAGCCATGCCCCCAATGGCTGGAAGTTGAAGCTAGACTAGGGTTACCATATTTCCACAATCAAAAAAGAGGACCCTGGGGGGAGGGGGGAGCCCCGCTCTAGCCCTGCCCCCATCCACTCCCTCCGACTTCCCGCCCCCTGACTGCCCCCCTCAGAACCCTTCTGGGACCCCTGCCACTAACTGCCCCCTACCTGTCCCCTGACTGCCCCGACCCTTATCCACATCCCCTTCCCTAGACAGACCAGGGGATTCCAACA